CGCCGCGGCCTGGTCAGCGCGGCCTGCAGGGGCGCGCCGTGGCCTGTCTGCGGGTCGCTGGCCCCTTGTCACCTGCCAGCGTGCTACGGCGTCTGCAACGAACCGCTGCACGGATTCCACCGCGGCCGCCTTTTCACATAGTGTCTGGGGTCAGATCCGGGAAGGCGGGGATGGATGGCCGAGGTGCTCAGCACAGGCCTCCCGGAGGCACGCAAACAGTGCACGAGGGGTGGCCAGGGGCCCCCAACCCTGAGCTCTCCGAAAGGGTCCAGCCGTGTTGTGCACAAAGGGAAAGCGGGTTCCTGGTGTGAAAGAGCCTTAACAGATGTAGCGTGCGCAGGAGGGGGAGAGGGGAGGGTGATGGTTTCCAGAAGGGGCACCCTACATTGCCCGTCCCTCGCACGGACAAATGCCCCGTCGACGGTGGTGGCCAGAACCCACACTGCCGGGCCTGAAAGCTGGCGCCAGGTCTAGGGGGCTTCTGGCAGGAAGCTTCTGGAAGGGGTCCTGAAGCAGGTGCCAGGAAGCTGCGGAAGAAGGAGCCAAGCCAAAGCGCAAACCAAGGCAGCGCGCGTCGCCAGCCGCTGGGCCCCCGGCTGCTGTCTCCCCGCAGCCGCCCGGCGCCTCTCTGGCTTCTGAGCCCGCAGGTCACATGGGGCCCAGCTGCGCCCAGCGAAAGTAGGGCCAGGGCAGGCTTCCCCTTTTGTGGAAACATCTCTGCAACACTCACCTCCCCAAGATGCACGACGGCCCGCACAGCGCCCGAGAGATGCCAAGACGCCACCTCGCCATGGGTGCCGGGCCCGGCTGGACAGCCTCAGCTCGCCCAGAAAGCGTGAGCACCGGGCGTCTACGAGGAATAAAGCTCCCATCAGAAAAGCCTCGGAGCAAAGGCAATCACAGAGCATCTGGGCCTCCCGGGGGCCCTCCTCCCTCCTTGAAGCCCCGGCCCTGGCCCATTCCTCAGTTCAGCACAAACCCCTTGTTGTCCTAGTTTTTTTCTTAAGATTTGTTCAATTTATGCACACAGAACTGGGGTGCAGGCCAGAGGTGCGGG